CGGGCTCCCCCATGGCCGGGCGGCCCGCTAGGAACCCCGCTGCCCCTGGGGTCCCAGGCTCTGCTGCATGACAGACCGGGAGGCTGGTCTTCGCAGGCAGGTCCTGCTTCCCCAGCCCTTCTTAAAGGGGCAGCCACCCAGGCGGGCTTGGCCAGGCCCCTAGAGGGAAGGCCCGGGGCGCTTGTATTTGCAGGGCTGAGCCTGCTGTCCCATTCCCCCACCCCCCTGCTCCCCTACTACCCTCTGCCCATGGCGGCACCCTGGTGCTAGCCACAGGACGTGGCGGCGTTGCAGCTAGACAGTGCCCTGTGAGCCCGGCCCATGCGAGAATCAGGCCCAGTTCTCTGGAGGACGGAGGAGAAGGGAGCAGGGCACCCCCAGCACCTAGCATCTGGTCCCACCTCTGTGGGATCCCCACTGTGCCCTCTGGCGCGGAGGGCAGCTCCCAGCATGGCTGGGAGGAGTAATGTGACCCACGCGAGGCAGCTCACATCAGGCGGCCCTATGGGCATCAACCCCCCACTCCAGAAAGTTACTGGGTGCCATGAATGGGAGGAAATGCAACAGAAGGGGAAACATTCAAAGAGATTCCGGGGCTGATCCATTGCAAACTCCCTGCCCTATAGGGACGCACAGACCCCTCCACCCCCCTTTGGCAAACAGCTCTCTGTTCAGGAGAGCCCAAGGAAGGGTTGGCAGGAGAAGTGGAGAATGGTGTGGGAACCCCAAAAGAAACTCGGGCGAGGGAAAGGCGTGTCAGCAGAGCGGTGCGTGGGGAGCAGCGGGGTACTGCAGGCGGGGATGGAGGTGCTCCAGCAAAGTGGTGATGTACTGGAATCCCAAGTCAGGGATGTATCAGCTGGGGGAAGTGGGAAGAAAGCTGTAGGATTGAGGTGCATCAGCCAGGTGGGGTGTCTGAGAGCAGAGGAATCTCACGCTCTATTCAGTGTCCCCCCCCCACAACGTGGCATCAGAGGCCTGGAATTCCTCACCAGTGCACACGCAGCCCTGCCCCTCTCTGCCTGGCTCGCACCGTCACTGTTAGTCACACACATCACCCACAACGTTTCTTACAACACGGGAGACATATGGAAATGAGCCACATTAATGAGGATATTAATTAAAAAACCATCTGCTGAGCCATGGCGAGCTCTCCCGCTGCCACGGCCAGTCCCAGGGAAGGTGGAAGACAGCTGTGAACTGTGACTATGTGCGGACTGGTTGGCCCAAACTCAGACTAGGAACCGGTCCTGCTGGGAGTCAGGTGCAAGAGATGTGAACTAGCAGGGGAGCCTCCTGCCATGTCCGTAGCGCTGGGAAGGGGATCCCTTCTCTGGGGCATTCCCATTTGTGAATGAGTTTGCTGGGTCTCAATCCGGTCCATAGGACGTGCCTACCACTCAGAAAACAATATGACTGGTGTGAATAAGCCCCCTTCCTGGTCTCTTTAGGAGTGAACCGGCTGTAGAAATTGACCTACTCTAGGGTTAATAACGCTTCTTCTCAAACGTAGGGTTTTGGGGGCAGGGATTGGCTTTCACCCTATCTGTACAGCACCTAGCACAATGGGGCCCTGAGCTTGGCTGGACCCTTCCGTTGCTACCGCAGTACAAAACATTACTAGTACTCTTGAGGCAGGACTGAAATGCACAGGGGGTGGGGCAGTTTGCCCAGCTGTCCACGTGGCGTGGACAAGCAGAGGGTTCAGTCACTTCAGCTGCCACACCCACGGAGCTCCCCTTAGCTGTTCTGGGTGGAGTTCCCTGAACTCACACTCATTTGGACATAACTCAGGGCACCTTTTGCAGACGGGTTACTCGCTGGGGCTTATGTGGGCTGAGCGAATGAGTGATAGTGCCAGCGTTGTTGTCGGTTTGTGGTGCAGTAGGACCCATAGGCTCCAGCTGAGATCAGGGCCCCCTGGTGCGAGGCACTGTACAGCCACGAGGTCTGCCCTGAAATACTGGCCGTCTGTTCTTGCTGGGGAAATGGGGCCGTGACTCTGAGTTCGGATCCTGCCTGCTGGCGTGGCTTTGAGAACCAAGTGCTCTGCGCCAGGCCTAGGTTGGCATTGGCCACTGTGCCTCTAGGGGGACACGGCTGTTCGTAGATGCATGAGCCTATTTTGGTGGTAGGGTATGACAAAAGGAGCCAAGCGTCTTGCTCATCCTGGCTGGGGGGACAACCTGTTCTGGTAGATGTTGGGCTGGAGTTGGGGGCGACCCAGGGGCTTAGTTTTGGATTAGGCTATATCCTGGGTCAGGGAGTAAAACCACTGATAGCTCATAGGTTCCCAAACTGGGGGGGCATGAAGAAATTCCGGGGGGGGCGCGAGGTGACCCAGTCCCCCCCCCCACTCCCATCATTCCCCCTCCAAGAAAGAGCACAATCCATCCATCCGCTCCAGCTGGCTGGGGCAGACTTCAAAATGGCTACCTTAAAAGGGCAATGCCTGCTCTGCTTTTAAAAAGGCCTTTTGGTTTTGTTTTTCTCAACAAGTTTTCCTGCTTTTGGGGGGGGGGGGGGAGGCATGAGGGTTTCTCAAAAATCAAAAACAGGGCATGATGCCAAAAAGTTTGGGAACCGCTGATCTAGCCACTCTGGCACCTGTCTCCAGTCGTGGTTAACAGCTGGTGCAACAGAGAGTGGCACAAAGCCCCATGCTGCACCTAGCTAATGGTGTGAATCTGTGTTCCTTCCTGACCCTTATGAACCCGAGGTTTGGTCCTGAAGCAAAAGATCTGTCCACCCTGTTTAGCTTGGCTTATGGCACCTACAATGTGTTATCAAAATGGGGGTTAAAATTTGCTGAGCCTGGATTTAAATCCTACTTTAACTCAGGATGGGATTTTTGGAAGCACTTAAATGACTCAAAAGCAGCCAGGAGTCCTGTGGCACCTTAGAGACTAACTGAAGTGTAGGAGCATAAGCTTTCGTGGGCAAAGACCCACTTCGTCAGATGCATGTCACGGCTACCCCTCTGATACTTAAATGACTCAGGAGCACAAGTCCAGTGGGCTTTCACTGGGACTTGTGCTCCCAGGTCATTTAGTTGCTTTTGAAAACCTCGCCTTCTGTGACTCCTGAAGCAGGGAGTTCCACAGGTTGAGAATAGTCATAGAGAAAGAAAAGAATACCTAGTGCATATGGACAAATGGAACAGCATTTTCTTTCACTGTCTCTCAGTTTATCGGTTACCATTATTTCTTACACCCCTATAATAAAATAAGAGTGGGTAAGAATGGTTATTAGTTGCACTGCGCTAGCATCTCGGAGCCTAGGGACACACTGCACGGACATAGAACATCCGAGATCCTCTACAGTCTGTGCTATCCCCACAAGGGTTCTGGAAACTGGGACAAACTGTGGAACTCCCCTAAGAGGTTTTTTAATCGGTTGTAGTGCTGGAAACTCTCTGCAATCTTGCTGTAAACATATTTTAATTACCCTAGCAGCACATATGCCTCCAATTCCCTTTGCTTCGCTCACTCTCAAACACACATGCGGCTTGCTGTAGAGACTGATCCACTGCCTCTTCCTTTCTGCATTGCTGGGGCTGGAACGGAGATGGGGTTACACCGAGCTCCAGGCACAGTCCCCTGGGGAGTAAGAGGCTGCTTCCAGCCTATGTGGCTAAAAGCCTTTGCCGCCCGCTGGAGCTGTTGAATATTTATCCCTGCTGGAAGTGATGGGAGAGGAGAAATCCAGGCGGCTCAGAGCGAATCTCCGCCTGCCTGAGAACCGCCTGCGTCAGGGGGTTGTGTTTGTGCTGCCTGGAATCCATCAGCTAGCTCATCTGTCCGAGAGCTGGATCTTCTACAAAGAGATTAGGCATCGCTGGTCTGCCCATCCACCCACCCTGCTGCTTATAGGGCCCCAGCTCCTGCCAGCTAAGCCCAGCCTATTGCTGGTCCATTGGGCAGGGGTGGAGGGTGTCTGCCCCTGGCCGGACCTTAGATGCAAGCAGCACATGGAATTGCCAACCAAGCCCCATGGTGACCACATAGCTGAGCTGACCAGGTCTCTCCCTCCTGCAATGGCACCCGAGGGGTAGAAACTCTGCTCTGGCTTGGGTCTATAGGCTGCAGGGCCGGCTCCTTCAGGGGCTCCTCAGAGCACAGATGGTGCTGGTAGATGGGCACCTCTCCATGCCCTGGGCTGAGGGAGAAGGTCCTGGTGCGGTTAGAGGGGCAGGACTGGTCCAGTTCTCTCCTGCTGAGCCACAGCCAGAGATGGAAGGACCCAGGGGCTCCCCCTTTCCCTGCCCTCTATCCCCAGCAGGCTTGTCTGGCTTGTCCCCCACCCCGGGGTTGCACAGGATTCATGCCAGGTTACAGATGGGGGCGGGGGGGCAAGGCTCATCAATGCAACCTGCCAGGCCAGGATTGTTCGCTGGAGCACACGCAGCGCTGGGCTT